GGTGTAGGCACGGGCCAATTCTGCTACCTTGCCTAAGAGATGCAACTAAATTCAATTTTACTACATATTTTAATTTGTAACAGTGGAGCTCCTCTTTCATAAATTGACAGAGTACTGGCCTCACATAAAAAAAAACAAACCCTCTCGAAGGAGAAGCATTGCACAAACGACACAGCGGCTGCTGGTATCTACAGAAATGCTAGCACCCACGTTACTCATCTCTTACGATAAATCGTAGATTAACTTTGTCTGTTCAACCCACAGCCAGCATTTAAACATCGCTGCCCCGCTGTAGGCGCGGGAGCTGCGCTGCCCGCGGCCGGGAGGGAGGGGCGGGAGGGCTGCGGGGTGCGCGGCGGCCGCCCGGCTCTTTTCCTCCCCGCACACCAGCATGGATTCAGTCGAGGCCCCATTTTCGAAGGAAATAAACGTAATCGTGTGCACAGCCACGCACCGCTGCTGTAAACACAAAACATCCAAGGACAAGAACGTGGCATCCCAGGTGAGAGCCGCCAAAATAAAGGGCGGGCCAGGGTCTCAACTCGCGCAAGCGTACACAGGACCGCTGGTGCGAGGGTATTAGGGCGTAATTAAATACAGTGTGTGTGAATTATCACTTCACACCCTTATCTTGAGAAGTGAACCCTGAAGAAAGTCATTCATAACCTTTATTTGCTAACTTTATTACAAAAGGTACCGGAGGCATCTACTTCGTGTATCTCAAGGCTAGAGTTCTGGCAATGATCACCCCTTTTGCAATACAAATTTTAAAACCAGAAGTAATACAAAGGGAAAATACCCAGAAGACTGCCTGGTGACTTGCAGCAGTAGCTTTAAACCCGCAGCAAGGGTCTGCTTTGCTACTTCATGCCCCACCGCTCTAATACAAAATTCTGCTTTTTAGTCTCCTAGAGAAAGAAAGGAAACGAGGCTCCTGATCCGTGAGCAGCGTGAGGATTTTAACAGGCAGCCCTGAGGCTGGGTTAAGAAAAGTACTGGGCAAAAGGAGCAGCTGTGCAAGCTCCCCAGGAGAGCCTCAGCGAAACAGCTTACCCCTGCGGAGTAGGCAGCCTTCAGGCAAATACAGCATCAGTCCTACACTTAGTACGGCGTGTAGGAAAGTCTGCACCACTCACGCTGCACTGCAGGGCGCTCTTCTGAATAGGATGTGCTCGCCTGCTGCTGCCTGGTGTCAGACTGCTGCAGACCACCTGAAGGGTGACAGAATTGCCTTGGCAGTTTCAGTCCATCCTGATCTGGGGACTGAAAATGGATCAAGAGGGTTCAGCAGCTCCCACCTCCTCCGTTCATCCTTCTTTCCCGGGCAATCTGAGTTGCAGCTAGTATTACATCTTGACAACACTGGTATGCCCTCCCCCAGTCCCACAAGACCACTGACTTTAGCACTGAAAATTCTGCCATGCTCCAGTTTGTGTTATCTGCAGCACCACTGAGCATGGAACACTCTGGAAGTTACACTCAGTAGTGCAGCAGAAGATGATGATGGGAAAATACTGCTGTTTCTCTCAGAGATGAAAAACAGCAGTATTTTCCCAGCACTTCACTGAGACTTTATTTTCCAGGCCTGAGAAAAAGTTATCCAATATCCACTGCTAGGCAATGTAACTAAATTTACTCTTTTTAAGTACGAGAGCTTCGTTTACGTTCATGATGTAATTAAGGACTCAGATCTGACCAGTGCTATGGGTAGAAATATGTAACTGCCACAGAACCAGTGACTTAATATTTTTAGCATCTACAGTGCAGCTTCAGACTGTTCCAGTAAAAACCTACAATCCAAAATGCACCTTTTGTTTCTTCTAACCTTTCAAAATTCTTAATAAAACTGTAACTAAAACAAACGTTGCAACCATTAGAAAAAGCCTTAATCATTCCACCTCATTCTCTCTCTTCATCTCCATGTTAAACCCCTCATTCATTTAAAAACAACAAACAAAAAAAAACCAAAAACAAAACCAAAAAAGGATGGAGTGTTTCCTGGGGAAGTGCAGACCACATTGAGCGTCTCTGCAGGCAGGTCACATTTGTCCCCCAGATGAGAATTTAAAGAGCAGCCATGCTCCCCAGAACGTGTCGTTGGTTAATGGATCACCAGCTGGATCCTCCAGGACCTGAAAGACACAGGAAGGAATCGAAACTTCACCACATACAATCTTTAATGATGCTGTGGCTCACAGTGGAAGAGCTCCTTTGGGCAGAGAGAGTAGCACAAGATTGTGGCAGGAGGGAATGTCAGTGGCGAGGGCTGTGTGCATGAAGTGACAAAGCCCTTGTTCCCTTCTAAGTTCAGGACATGGGTGTAAAAATGACAAGCACAAACAGTGCACAGTTCAACTCTTAGTAATTCAGAGAAGAGCAATTCCCTTCCCTTTGCCCAAGGCATTGGCTTCTATAAAAGCTAGAAAATGACAGTGGGTAAGAGTAGGATGAAATAATTAAGAAGGGAGTCATCACCTGAACAAGGGAGCTCTGTTCAGGCAGAAACTACACAAAAATTAATTAACTTTTGTTTGTTCATTTGTTTTCTTGTTTTGTTTTACTCTCATTTTGACTCTGATGGGATGCATGACCTATGAAAAGCAAATTGAAATTCATGTGTGGACAAAAGGAAGTGTACATCTGCACCCCTGTGGTTCAGACACAGGAACATCTGCATATTCCTGCAACAAGCTCAGGGCAAGTTGATTCAGCAAGAAACAGTGTCCAGGAAGTCTGTAGAATGCTGTAAAAATCATTCAAGCTCTTCCTTTTCCTACAGCACACAAATGTGCAAAAACTGCTTTTCTGAAACCCTGAACTGAATAATTACTACAAAGATTTGAAGAAGCCCCCTTTTGACATCTACAGGCATCACAGAGTATCTTGCTCCCCAGCCCACATTGCACCGAGTGTCAAGTTTCTACACCATTGCAAAATCAGTGCAAGAATGCAAAACAGCAAGACGAAAAATCTAGCTACAGAGACTGCATGCACTGGAAATCTTAGAAAAGGCTCATTCATTATTAATGCCCAAAGCTTTCCTACTCATCTGGCTCACATTATTGCTGGTAAAAAGGCCACTTTCCAAGATACAGATCTTTATATTGATGCTTTCAAAGGCTCAAAAGAGGTTCTGTTACTGCCCTCAGAGCTGCAGCCGCTTCCTATAATGAGGCCAGCAGATATGGTCTCCTGCTTTTCAAAATCTCTTTTAAAAAGGTTTTTTCCAGCAGCTTACACTGCAAGGGAAACAGAAATGGATGCTAACTGATTGGTAGACCAATGCATGTGAAGCCAAAAAATAGCTCAAGGTACAGTTTAGAGAGGGCTTTCTTGGGTCCTATTTTTAGGGAACGTTTAATTCAGAACTGTGCTCCCATCCACTTGAAAGCACCACATTTCTAACTTCTCTACTGACTTAAAATCACCATAAGAAGGCAGGCAGATCATGGAAGTAACTTCTTTTGTCATGTCCTATAATAATACTGCTCTGTACACTGCTATCAGCCATCTTGGAACATCACAAAATCCCTTCTCAGCAATAGCACAGACTTGGAAGTGAAAATTACATCAACAATTTTAAGAGGTCTGAGAGAGAACTCAAAATCCGCAGAACCCCTCAGAGGAGAGGACCCTCAAGCAGCCATCTTCCTGTTATCTTTTGACAATGCTAGGTGAGCCCTCCTTTGTTCAAAATATAAATGACACTTTTGATCTGCACAGGTTGTTTTGGCCACCAATTCAATAACACATTTAGTAAAATCAGGATCTGACAAGCAATCCAAGTGGAATAAACAACAAAACCACCTCTCTTTCTAGTGTCTGCTGGATGCTACCCAGGGAATGCCCAGCTTGCTCTGAACTGGATTCCAAAAGGTATGCTTAGATCAGACATGTTTCATATTAAATACAATGTGAGATTTCCCATCTCCTGTGTGAGAGCTACAGCTGGAGAGTGTATATAGGGCTTAGCTCCTTTCTCTGAACATCAGGTGTGTTCTCTTACCTGGCTTTGTCCCAGGGCTTGGCTTTCTGCCATGGAGGGTGCAGAAACAGGTGGGCACTGAGGCTTGCCAAACACAGTCTGACAGGAACTGGAAGAAAATATGATATACAAATGCATTTGTATTTATGCTCTATTCACTACTTACTGTAACGTTTTGCAGCAGGACAAGAGGGGCTGCTGGCAAGACTATTCATTCAACAGAGTTCTGTTGTTTACAGATCTGCCCCATTTCTCCAGACTGTTATGGCCTGAAAATACAGATTCTGCAGTGGGAGGACTAACCTGACCAGGAGCAGTATACAAGATTTGCATCTTGATTTGCAACTTTCCTTATGCCCCCAGAGGACCTCCATAAACAAGGAGATGTCTACCAAAATGTCTCTTTCCTGGAACATACTTTAAAAACACAGACCTTAAGAGTCAAAACATATAAACATGTGGCTTTAGACATAGCCATAACATTGGCTACTATAGCTTTTCAAGGCTGCCAGTGGAGAGCCTGGGGACATGGCTTCCCCATCCACACCTCCCCTGGGGGCTCGGACAACCTCTTGAAAGAGGTCACAGTGTGCAGGCACTGGGTCAAATAGGAGACACTGGGTACTTGAGGATGGGATGTTCTCTCCCTTCATCACCAACTCAAAAGTATCTATACTCCAACAACACTGCCCGTACCACCCCCAGGAACAGCCCTGGGTATGAATGGCCATACAGGCCCAGACCAAAGGTGCCGACTAATAAGAGCACAGGAAAAAAGTAGAAGCAACTGAGCAAGTGTCAAGTTGTCCTTCCTTGGAATGGCCCCCAGGTTCCAGAAATCAAACTTCTATGCTGGAGGCTGCATTCAGGCAATTACATGTACTAACGACAAATAGACTCAACCTCCTGGCCCCCCAAGAATTTGCCTCATTCTTTTTCATAGCTCACTTACATTGACATGCACAATGCCCTTAGCAACAAATTCTGTGATCTAATGGTGCAACATGCCAAAAAGTAGCTCCCTTTTGTGCATTTTGAACTCACTGCCTGCCACTGTTGGGGTGCTGGGTTTTCAAGAGGGGAGAACCTAACAGCAGGAGGATTCCTAGCACTTGGAGCTGGAATCCCAAAAATGCAGGCAGAAGTGGTAAACTGCTATGAACGTCTCAGCACTGGTGTTTTCTAAATCAATATGCTGGCTCATAAATGCAGTCTGTCTTGCTCCACAAAGTTCAGTGTGCTTTTCTGTTGAAACGGGAGGCATGAGAACTGCATGAACCATTAGCTGAGCTACATTCTGCCTGTCCCAACTCAAGGATTGAAGAGGATACACCACCACTATCTGTAAAGGCAAGCATCTGTTTGGTGTCCCACAGGGACTTCCAGTTCGCTAGCTGGAGCAAACTCTCCTGTCAGGCAGCAGGAGCAGATGGAGACAGTCAGCTTCCAGCCTGGTTCCCCCTCACACTCCCACCTCACAGCCCTGTAGATCATAAGAGGTTTGGATACAGCCCAAGTGTGTAGGACTGACTGTAAAAAGCCCATGAAAGAAATCACCAGGAATTGTTCTAATAAGCTTTCAGGCCAAGTCCTTTCAGGGTGAGCACATTTTAAAATGAGACAAGCGGATTAAGGATCCTTTGGCTTACTTGTAGCTCTACCCCTGCACTTATGAGGAGGGAGCCACAGGTGCTGGCAAGGCAGTGAGACCATAACACTAAGTCCACTCCAGGTGGGTGACCCTGGCTAAATAATTCCCTTCTCTGTGCTTTACTCTCATCTGTAAAGCAGAGATACCTTCACTGCCCTGTCTTTCCAGGACAGCAACATTCATTTGCCTTACAGTTTAAGCTGTTGATTCCTTCATGAGTGCCCAGATGAGAGATGCTCCTTGCAATATTATTGCTAGAGATGACTCCAGTGACAACACTTCTTTCTAATCCAGTAGCTGTTAGAGGGCTCATCCTGACAAGAAGGTGATCATCATTCATTGCTATTCACTGAGCAGTGATCTTACCCAAAACTACCCGTGCAAGGTCTCTTGGCTCTCTAGAGAGGAACTGCAGAAGGCCCTAGATGAAATTGCAGTTTAAGCATCACTCATTTCTAAAGAGATTGATGTTCCATAGCATTCATGGTGTTTTGGAGAGTTCAAGGTTTTGGGGGAAACTGGACCAGGCCACTAAACAGGGTTTATGAGTATAGTTCAAATAACTATCTTCACCAGAAAGTGTCAATGAAGCAGCAAGCCCTGCCAGGAATACGATAAAGGGTGTGTGGATTCCTGGCACAACCGACATACCCAACAAGGAGACATTCACCATAGATTTCTTCTACTGGTGGAACATATTTTAAAAATAAACATGAGCTCACTCTAGAGTCAGAACTTGCAATTTTAAATCCAGCCAAAATATTGTCAGCAAGCCTCACTGATCTTCCATGATCTTTAGCCACTGTTTAAAAGCGTGAATCCTAAAACACGGACTGAGGTGGATTTACAATGACCAGATCTGTGTTCTCCCCAGCAATTCAGAATGAGGCATCTGAAATGAGTGTGAACATCTGTAGGCCCCAAGTCAACTAGGAAACAGGGGTAAATGGCAGAACTGTTTTTAGCAGGGAACTGGGATGCAAAAACCCACTGATCTCTATCTCCAGTGAATCACTGCCTGCCCTTGTTGCTTGACAAGCCACAAAGCCTCTCCGTGCTTCTGCTTCCTCATCTATAAAGTGGGAATAAAACTGCTTCTACCTATCTCTTTGAAATATTATTGACAGTGTCATGCTAGCACAAATGCCGGACAGTGTCAAGCAGAAGGGTTATGAAATGGGGCTGTGGCTCCTGCTCTGTCTTGCAGATCAGTAAATTAAAAGAACCTCGTAAGGTCTGTTTGGCAGTGTTTATTTTTACGTAACGTTATGGAAGTTGTATAACATATGGAAGATGGCACAGATTTTTGTTGTTTTGCATTCTGTGAATTTATCTTAAGTCCCAGAGAAAACCTGCAGTCTGAAACATTTGTTACAGGTGGAAAACAGTAAGACAGGCACTGTTCTGTCTTTCTGTCTTCCAATTTGGAAAGCTTGCACTATGGAACAATCATGTCATGAGGTTATGAAGCTACAAAAACTATTTTAGGATTAATTATGGGCCCTACCAACCCAGCCCACAGAATCAGCTCTCACTGGATCAGTATAGGTTATGATTTTCTGCCAAAAAGAAAAACAGGCAAATAGCTCAGAAGCTAAACCTGCTTTAAAAAGAGAGGTCTCTATCTTTTCTGATGAGACTGGTCCCAAATCTCCTTTGTGCCACCACTGTAAAACACATATGCGCTCATCCAGCATTTCCCATTTCCAGTGCACAGATATAAATATCTGCAAAATATGATTGACACAAGGAGAATCAGGCCCCTGGAATGAGATGCGTCACTATACTCTTTCTGTAACCCTCTTGAACAGGGGGATCTGGACAAGGCTAGAATTGTTACTCCTGCCTTTAAGAAGCCCTGTGCTTTCCGCTGCCTTTACCTGTGGGGAAGAATAGATTCCAGGGTCCCTAGCTGCTCTTCTCTAAAGATGAAGCTTTCAACCTCTAAATCTGACTGCTGAATGATTCTTCCTGAACTGTCCTCAATACAGCCACCATGAGGGACTCTACTCAAGGGAGCTCTGATACCTGCTGAAATAAATGCTCGTATTAGAGACAATTACAGTTAACATGACCCCAATCTCTGACCCAGCTATTCCTCCCCTCCTTGCTCCACATTCACCAGAGGCTGGATGAATAGGAGCACTTTCTATTCTGTTAGATTTACAGCAAAAGCAGGTGGACATCACTTACATATCCTATTAAGGCTATTATGAAGATAAGGGAGAAGAAAAGAGACGGTGGGAACGTTGAACAAGACCAGACAGGAAGGAAATGGGGAGAGAGGAAGAATAGCAGGAAGAAAAAAGGGAAGTAAGAATGTGTTGCTAAAGACGAGCACCATGTCACAGTTAAGAGTTCACAGCTTCTGTTCAGGCAACCTTTTAAGAATGACAGGCATTTAAAAGCCCAGAAGTTTGCAAACTGACAGCAGGCGATCCCCAAAGGGACTCTTCCAATGGAAATGCTAAAAGGAATCCACCTTGTTGGAAAAGTACCATCCTATGGAAGCAGTTACATTTTAAGCAAAAGAGTAGGTAGGAATGTGTGTTTCAACTTCTTAAATCAACAGGTTTTCTCACTGAGCTACTATGGGAGCAGAACTCCAGAACCCAAGATAAGCCCTGCTCCCATTTGTCATGATGTTGGAAAGTCATGTAAGTGAGCAAGAGTGTTTACAACAAAGGGAAAAGAAGCTTGAAAACTCTTAAGGTCAACAATCTGGGTGCAGTTTTACTAACCTTCCATACTTGGGGTCCACATGGAGCCAGAGACTCCTCTGGTGCTGCAAGGGGCCTGCCACACGGCCAGCTGCTCACCCGGGAAGGTAAGGGGCCTGCAAGAGCACCGGGCAAAGTTATCCTGCTGGGGACTGGCATAAGCACTGCTTGCTACTGCTCCAGGCTGCAGGTGAGCCAAGTTAAAGCAGGTTCCTGGTTCCAGCATAGCCTCGGTGCAGAAAGCTACAAGCTGTTCAGTATTGTCAGAGAAAGCCTTGCTTGCCCTTTCTTCATACAGCTGACTGCTCTGCATAAAGCTGTAATGACAAAGAAAATAAATTAACCAGACATACTGTTTCACAAAGAGGAAGAACCCCACAACGGAAGCTTTGAATCCTGCCCTTGACAGCTGGGAGCTTAACTGCTAGATGCTCTGACTGCCTGATGCTGGGGATGGACCGTTCCCATCTACAGAGTCAAGACTCTTCAGTATGTCCCCTGGGAACTGACATGAAAGTCAGATCCATGAACAATTTTAAAGGTTGCTTCATCTCTGAACTGTCACCGTAAAGACTTTTTCATACATCACCTGGATTCCAGCATCTTTAAATACATTCCTTCAGAAGGCTTATTATCCAGATCTGCAGCTGACTGCTCCCACCCAGGGTCACAGGGCACGAGGGTTATCTCCGTTTGCTCAGAGCCGATACCTACACAAGATCCATCTGAAAGGTGCAGGCCAGACAGGTGAAAGAACATTAATAGTTACTCCAAAAAAACAATGAAATGAGTCTAATTTGCCAAATGCAGCAAGTCTGTCTTATTCCCCGTGACTGAAATTTGGTCAAGATCCTATGAAGGGACATAGACATACTCAGCCTTACTGGAGTACTGATCCCAGAATCTGAGAGCTAAAACCTGCTGCCTCCCATGTATTTGCTTCCATTTGGTGCCCCTTCTGAGATGGGCATCTCTTTTCACCTGTCCTTACACAGGCCTTGTCAATATTTGCTCCTTCTACAGAGTGACAAACAATGAGGCACTCCACTGAAGTAGAGGCCTCTAGTGTCCACTTGATCCATCAGCCTAGAAGCTGTTCTGGAGAAGAATAGCCTTCCCTAATGAGGGAATTTAAAATTGTTTTCCAGCTTTCTGGACCACATCCTAAGCCCATTAGGAAGAGACAAACCTGCAGTTTGTGCACCGTAGGATCCATTATCTTGCTGCTCCTTTGTGTGGTAGGTCAAAGCCCTCTCAGGCCAGGAGTTGTTGAGTTTTTCCGTATGAGGGAGGCAGGATTTTTGACGTCGACGATAATTTGCAAACCAGTTATAGACCTGAGTTGGCTGCAGGTTCATGTGCTGAGCCAATTCCTCCTGCAAACCCAGGTGTAGGGAGAAATCAAAGGAAAAAGAATAAACCACATCCAAATAATCAGGCTTTTCCCTTCAGTTCTAAAAGCAGCCCAGCAAAAGAGTTTTCAAACCCAAGGACATTTGTTCACTAGACTTATCTGAGACCTATGAGGAGACTGATTTATAAACTCAAAACAGTTGCTGGAAAACACACATTCCACCCTGCTCCCCTAGACAATTTGTTTGCTAAAGGAAGCCATATACTGTTATTTTCTATTGCTCTATTTAAATGTAAAACCTCGCCAAAGCATGCTCTTCCCACAGAATGACAGCTTCACATCACTAACATTACACTAAAAGGATAAACATTAATGCATTTACTATATTAAATAGTTTTCACAATCTGTGAGCAGTATAAACATCTGTATCATGTTCACAAAAAAAATTGATGTATTAAACTGTTAAATAATGAGATCACATAAGTAAAGCATGTATTAGAAAATTAATGCATAAATGATCATTGCCTCCTGACCTTTTCAGACTTAATTATGCAGCTTCATTATGCTCCCAATTCAGATTGTTTTTTTAAAATTAAAATTTGGAAGTTGTTTGTGCTTTGTGAATAAGGGTAAGAAATAAACCATCTTCACACTGCAGAACTATGCACCAGGCCACCCTGCCTCATAAGAAGTGTTGGAAAAGTTGAGCATCACAGAGGCAGACTTTAAAATTTGAAGCCTTCACCTTGCAAGGTAGTAATTAACAAGGATTACTGAATTAATTCACACATCACTTTCATTACAAATTTGTCCCTGTCCAAATATGGTGGATAAACACACACATGAACATGGCCCACTGTGTTTCCAAATTCTGTGAATTTAATGTGATAAATCAGTACAAAATATATTCTGGTAAGCAAAGTGCAATTTTATACAGGCTATAACTCAGTCAAGTCAGAGCTATTTATCACTGTAATATAATTCTTATGAGTGATGGTTGTTTCGCTGCCTATGCTCAATCACTACAAAATTAGAACTGTTAAAAGCCCAGTGAGTTTATTTACCCTGATCTTTTTGTCCAAAGCAAGTGAAATTACTTAGCATGAATTTGATGATTTTTTTTTAAGGAAACATTTTGGGAAAGATCAAATATGGGGAATCCCAGCCTCACTGGGGCTTTTGAAAACAAGGATTTAGAATGAAACTAGTTATAGATTGCAGAGTTCTGCTTTTCTATGACAAGAAGCCTTGATTGGAATTAGCATATCCCTACCCGCTGTTTCTTGTTTGGATTTGTTGTCACCTCTGTAGCAAACCTGTGCAGCTGCTGGCGTACTTCATCTGAATAGTTTCGACTCTTCAAACCTTCAGGACAAAGGGAAATAGGTGGAGGATTCCTGTACACAGGAGAAAACAGGATTTAAAAGGGACACAAAAAGAGTCATTCACATTGCTACAAGTGCTCAAAACGCCAAGAAAAACCCAGCTCCAAGAAGCAGCCATCTTAAGATGCAAATAGAGCTTCTGCATCTCTACCCCTGCACCTGCTTTCTTCACAGCAGAGGAAAAAATATCAGTTTCCCCATGCCATGGTACCTCTTCCTGCAACGGAATTTCTGCAGTGGTGTCAAAAAATCTGTGTGGTATTTCTCCATAACTCTCCGGTAGTGAATCTCATGCCAAAGTTGCACCAGCTGCTCCTTCTCCTCTGCCTTGCAATACTGAAACAAAACAGTATGTAAGCAAACTCTTTCCAGGTAGTCAGTCAGGCTTCCTATAAAGGAGAAAACCCCCAACAACTAGAAACTTACTCAGAGATTCCTCCTGATTTGACAAAGATGGCAGCATTTTCCAGGTATATGGCTTGCTGTACCTTCTCTAATGTACACGGGGAGCTGCCTGCCTAATTCCTTCTTCTCCCCTGGTGAAAAGGGCCACATTACCAGACCTAGAGGCCAAAATCCCTCACCTTGAGAGGTGCTATTCAGCCTTCCTCCTATCTTCCCATCCTTGGCAAGCCCTCTAAACTTGGCCTCCCCCAGGCTTTTATATCCTGAGCTCTAAGTTTTTCACAGACTTCAAGAACCACCACATTAAGACAACAGAAATCCTGCTTTCACAAACTACAACCAACCCCATAATCACCCAATCACCTTCTTCCCTTTGGCTCATTAATAATAACTGCCTGTAGCAAAGGCTTTATCCTGTGCTTCAGGTCAATCAATACACATATCACCTTCCACTGTTGTGCGCCAGCTGGAAACACTCCACGTCCTGCAGTTTGGGTACCCCTCCAATAACAGCTCTACCTACTATTTTTCTAATACTGCTTTTTATCTCCATGAAGAAAGAAGAAACACATCCCTACCTCCAGGAGTCTGCAGGCTGTGTCATGCTGCCCATTATGGACATGAACGAGTACACAAGCTCGGACAATGTGGATATTAGTGAGAAAATACATCTTGTGTTTGCATCCCATCATGGCCCCAACCAGCTTCTCCAGACTAGGAGATGAGGTCTGGAGGTCCTGGCAAAGCTGTGCTGCTAGATCCAGCAGCTTGGCGGGCGGGGGATCCTTGTCTTTATTCCTCTTTAACATGGCCATGAACTGCTTCATCCTTACGTCCTGCTGAAAAACTTCTCTATGTAATGCACAAAGCTGTGGTTAGATAAAAGCTATTATCTCCTATTTTTAGCTTCTACGATATGTGTTTTTTATTTTTTAAAGGAAAGAAAATTACTGTGCTGTTAAAAGCAGCCTGAGGACCAAAAAAACACTTAAAATAAAGCAACCCTGAAAGGCTAAAGCCACACTAGGCTTGTAGTTGAGAAAACTGAGCTCAGAAAGACATTAAACTCGACCCCAAACTCGGAGGCTGGAGGAGGCCAAAGCCGGCGGGCTGCGGGGTGCTGCACTCTGGGCTGGCCCCAGTGTTCCCCAGTTCGGTCTGTGCACGCGGCTGGGCACACTGGGGCACTGCGGAGCGGCCCAACCACCCCACCCCCTGCCCCTCCGTCGTGGCTCCAGACCCTCCCTCCCGGCCAGATCAGGGACCCCCCCAGCCAAATCACGATATGAAGCTTTACATCCACTGCTTAAGGGTTAAAACTACAAGAACATTAAGCCCAGGGACATCCAGGTGAAATTAATGAGGTTTTTCTCCAAAATGGCACGGGACAGGCCCGGGGCAGGCGGCGGTTACAGCGAAGTGTGACTCAAATGACCATCGCAGCAGTTTTTCGCCCATTTTCCTGGGGAAAAAAAGAGACCGGCGCGATCCCCCACCCCTGGGCCAGCTCCAGCCCCGCCGGACAGAAAGGGAAAAAGCTCTGAAATACCTGCGAGGTTGAGGAGCGGGGACACCCCGGCAGCCCCGTCCCCTCCCGAGGAAGCACAACCCGGGGCGCCCCAGAGTCTGTCT